ATTCGCAATTTGCTGAATACCTATCTGAAATATATCGCACATGACGCGCGAAATTTTATCGATAATTCCATGCAACAAGAAAAGTACAAAATAATAAAATTGTTACATGATAAAAGACGGAATAAAATACAAATTATTGTTAAATTATTCAAATTCTGAAATATTTGTTACTATCACAAACATTAATAATAAAAGTGAAAACGCGACGCTTTTAACGATCTCAGAAATGTATCCGATTAAAAATCTTACTGTATACATATGATTATTACCGGCTGAATCAATGAAAGTATTCGTAATGGCATGCGAGCCGCGATCCGTGCGAATAACGAGCGAACGAATCTGCGATCCGCGTTTGAAACACGAACCTAGTCGGTATCCACCCATTTCCGAGGATTCTCCCTCGATTTACAAGCCTCCTCGTGGCTATCATCACGGAATTTCCCGCAGCCACTAGCTCGGCAAATCGCCACCCGATACGGTCGATGGCGCGAATCGGTAGTCGGACGCCGAGGCAGAACCTCGGTGCATACCTGAGATCGGTACGTTAACCTCCCGGAGGGGAAAGGGACGATAAATTAGGCGAGCCTTATCGGCGATCGTTCGCGCGAGTATATAACGCTCCTCGCCCAGAAGCTCCCTTGGCACACGCAGATGCTATCCTCTTCGCGCCTGATGCATCTTCAGTCTCTTATTGGCAGAGAGACGAGAGAACCATACTTATTCTCTCGAAAGAGAGAGAGAGAGAGAGAGAGAGAGAAAGAGAGACGTACTTACGCGCAAGGGTTTGGTTTTGTTGGGCGGATAAAAAAAGACAGACATATTGGTTTTACATTCCCTTATTTACGAGACCATAAACCTTCCTACTCTTCTTTGGCCGCGATTCCGCCAAATGCAACAACGCCATGCCGTTACGATTCCAGGGTAGAGGCACGAACGGACTGACTTGGCGGGAAGCGAGCGGAGAAGAAACGGGCTACAACCGCGCGGGCATTAATAAATTTCGGAGCAAGTTACACTCGCTCGCGCGACCAAGTCGGCAGATGCTCGAGATTTATGGGATTCAGAGCCGGTGACAAATTCATACATATCCGCGTCCACCGAAAGCGTGAAAAATATCGGGGAAAAGAGTAATTTATTTATTATAATCCATATTTATTATGTTTTGGATCACAGGTCCAGAGATACTCTGCACATGATATGCCGTAATAAACAAGTATAGATTATCTGCAAAAATGCGAACACAAATTCCTGTCTAATTGAAAATATACTCCATCGATATTTCTCTTATATATATTTTCCTCTTCCGTTTTATTATTCACATCGCTTTTATCGAAGATCCATCGTCAACTAGGCAACAACGCACTTAAATCGCGAAAGGAATCGGAAAGGGTTTGGTTCGGTATTCATTAATGGATGTCTATTTGAATCTTCCTGATACACACTCGGAGAGCACTTTAAGCGCAATTACATGTGCGTCATGAACGGAACGGAATGCGTTGTGCAAGTATCGCAAACCCTGTCTGCGACAATCGACAATCGTGAGCCTTTATCAAGCGGTAGGCTTACACACTTCGAGATAAAGTCGGCAATCCACTCATCGTCAGCTCTCACTAAGGCGGATGCTCGTCTTAACCGGGAACTGCAATAAAGCACCCTGCGTTCTCCGCGCGGAAGAGTTTCTTTGATTTATCGCTCCTTGAAACGAGCCAAATTACACCGTTAAATCGTCTCGAACGACAGTCGACGCGCAAGCGAGTCATTTCACACGATCGAAATATTTCATCTATGTACAGGGTGTCTTGAGTCAATTACATTATCTTTCAGTAACAAACATTATATGTATAGAGTCAAGAAAAAATATAATTAATAAATGTAATAGAGAGATGCAATATAATATAGTTATTAAAAGTGTGTAAAAATAATATTATTAGTTTTTATTCATTATTATAGAGAACATGATAATTAAAATTTCATTATTCAACTTTATTAACAATATAATATAAAATCATTTCATTAATTGATCAACAAAGAGTCATTAAACTTAGACTAGTATATTATTTATTTTTAATGAGGACTGCAGTTGATTACTCACACCCTGTACAAGTTCGCAATGAATATCCGTGGAAGACAAAGCGAGATTGGTGTGCAAAGGTCGCGTCATCGAGTCACGAACTACAACGAGCGTGCAAGAATCGATGTCGAGGAATCGCGAGGGAACGAAGAGGACGACGAGAACGAGACGAAATGAGATGAGATAGAAAAGAAGCCGCGAAGAGAGGAGACGAGAGTAAAAGGTCGAAGGAAGAAGATGAAGAAACTCTCGGGTCGGTCACGCGTCTCAAACTCAGCAATGGCAATCACAAGTCTGTTATTGCGAGTGGTCTTTCGAAGGCTAAGTACAATTACAGGTTGCTTCGAGAGCGAAACAGAACGCGCGCGCGCGCGCACGAAAGGGATTGTAGGTGTCTTTGTGTATCGCGCTCGTTATGGACGTGTATTGAGAAGTCGCGAAGAGGTCTTCTCCAGATATGACAATGTCTTCGTTTGGAGTTATTATCGCATCGTCGGCGACGAGATATGATAACCGAGTTCAGCCACGTCGTCGCACATATTTCTGTATTTCTTAATAAAGATCCGTCAAAAATATACCGACGCGGAAGATGTCTGATGCGCGAACGTGAGACGCATTCCGGATACGATCATTTTTAAACCGGCCGTCCGGCGTGACCTAAAGCGACATACCGGTTCCGCGCTGGTTTGTACTGGTTTTCAGTTGCAACAAAATACGTTAATTTTTTTTTTTTTTTTTTTAAATATGTTAAAGGGGAATTTTTATGAAAAGATACGAAAAGCTCATGTTTCATCGTGCCATTCGTATCTCTTAGGCTGAAGGCCGAACTACACGGATGAATTAAAATTGCAAAGCAGAGAAGCCTTTTTAATTCCGATCGCGTCAAAACAACACATTAAAATATACAAGACTACGCTATACATTCCGAAGAAAAACATTCACCGTGGGAATAAAATGAAAGGAGCGATGACCAGGCGAAACTTGTTGGTTTCGAGTTCACCGAGAATGGAACCACGTGGAACCTGCGGCCGAAACTCGCAACGCCTGGCACTAAAAGTTTCGGGGCGTGGGCAATAATTTACGATGCCGCGCGGTAACTATCCGTAAGTACCAGCGAGAGCAACGCTAATGTTCGTCCTTATGTACTGCGCGCGTATACGCGCGTCCGCGTCCGGTCCGGCTGACTTAGGGAAGGATAAAGCGAAGTGAAGGGATGAGGAGGGAACGTTGTCGGAGAGGAGACCATCGGTCGGAGGTCTTTACTACGCATAAATTTGCGGTCTCTCCGCCGACGTCGCGGCTTTACTGCCTTTCCACGAAAACCCACACCGTCCTCCGAAAAGAGTCAGTCCCAGCGACCCTGAAGCCCCGCCGGCGACGCAACCACGACGCAATGTAGGTCTCTGTATCCCGGGCGTTAAGCTATTCCCGTGATGAAGCTGCATGCGTGTCGCTCAATTGCAGCGGCGACGGTAAGATCTTAAACTAATGGTTCAGCTTATGACGAAAAGTATAATTATAATAATAGATAATGGATTTTTAATGATAAATACATCGCGTGAGAAGACGAAAGTATGTTTAAAAAAAAATTGTTTATTTTGCATTTTATATACATTGTTTTGTTATTAAAATAAGAGCGAGCAAAAAATCCCGATCCGCATTGATTAAGTCTTTCGAAATAATGCACACAGAAAAATATTATTCTATTGCTAAGTAAAATGATTACTCAGTTTACTTTACTTCTTTTAAGTAACAGTTATCTTTAACAAATAATATTTTCTTAATAATAGTCTTAAAATAAACTTGTCACAAATTTTAGAAATACTCATTATCATATACTCAAAAAAAGTAAATATTTTCTTTTGAAAAATATTATAAAATTTTATCGAAGAGAAGTCAGATATGGTATATGAACTTATGAAATACTTGAAACAAGTAATATTTACTTGTATATAGTATGTATTTTTCTGTGTCTACGGTTATGCGAAACCGTAAATTACATAATCCGCATCGATTGCAAATAATTGCGTATAAACGAATAAAAATTTGCATAAGTAAAAAAGCGCGGAATCATTATATCGTATTATTGTAACGAATTTCACCGAATAATTGCTATATCATGCATTTACTGCATTATTGCCTACGCACGCAAGCTTAATTAATCATTCTCGAAGTGTAACATGTATAAGGCTTTGTTGAGGATTTTTCCATTAATATCTCTTGTTCCAAATTAATAAAAAAATCACGTCAAAATTAAATCTCTGCGCTGATATCCCGAGTCGAAATTTTGCTCCTATTTACAACTTCTATTTCTTCATTATTTATGGATTCTGAAGAATTTTGACAGATTTCATTTATATAAGATTTGTATTTTATTGAACTCCTACTTTCTACCTCTCATATAGATAGTAAACGAACAGTTTTCCACGGAGGAGCTTCCGGCAAAACTATAGATTAAATAATTTAAGAATACAGTAGTCTGTGAGACTGTTTAATGTGTATCAAAGTAGATGTTAGATTGAACATTGAGATCGAAAATAAGAGAAAAATTTCGATTTAGAGGAAATATACTGCGTGTGTAAAAATTTAAATCGTGTCTTACTAAAAAAAAATTGGATTTGCCATAAAAATAAAAGTTTTAATCAAAACAATAGTTAGTAAGTTGAATCAAAAATTAATCAAAAGCTGCGTTGAACTTTCAAAACATATGCAAAATAAAAAATATACGCGCAGAACACATATAATATATAAAAATATTTTCCTGATAAAAGGCAAAAAGACATGTCAAATAGATAAAAAAAGTATTTATACTTGTATGCAACAAATAGAAATTTAAAAAAACAAAATTTAAGATGCTACGTATTAAAATCTATTATTTATATGTATATACATGATATTTTTTAACATGAGATAAAAATTTTTCACTCACCGATCGATGTAAGCAGATGTACTAGCAGAGTTGATTACATAGACTGGATTAATCTATAACATATAAATATAAGATCCAAAATATAGCAAAGTTCAAAATAAATAATATTTCAAACAATTATTAATATAATAATAATAAACATATATATAATAAATACAGATATTTAATAAAATTGTTATACAATTATTTTTGAAAAAACTATTCTTTTTAAATACAGGAACTTTTATAGGATTCCATATATAAAAATCTTTCTCTAGTTTTTGTTTCAGTTATTCAAATAAACGAATCAAATAGACGGGAATAGATGGAAACAGCCAAGTTGTTCTCTTCCTCTAGAGTTCGTTGCATTCGCTCACTGTATTCATTCGCGAAAAAAAAAACGATCGTTAATAACAATCACGCGAATCCGCGATAAAAATGAACGCGCGACACTCCCGAACTAATTAAGGCGCGAAAGCGCGGATATCGATCGGAAACATTAAAAACTGTTTGTACCCAGTGAGGAGGGTTTCGTCGGACAAAAATCTGGTGCCATATAAATATGCTCCAAAAAACGAGCACTACCAATATACCTTCTTAATTAAAATAAATTACAACGTATACCTCGTACAAATTACTACAGGATGCCTATATCAAGGTTACGCTTAAACAAACACGGAACCGTTTTACGGGATCGTCCGCCTATCGATACTCCTCGACCGCTGATACTTGTTCGTTCTTAATCAATAACATGCACCATGAAAAGGAAATTAATATAGCAATTAGTTCGTGGCATTTACACATCGTTGAAACCCGCCTATCTTTGTACAAATATCTACAACACATTCATATCATTAATAAAGACAGTTGCACTAAGAAAGAAAATCAAATAAGGAAGATCTATCCATATATAAAATATATCACAACCTTATTTTAAATTTCTGCAAATTATATTCCATTTCAAAAATAAAAAATAATTAGAATACTTTTCATATATTTTATATATTAAAAGATATTATTTTAATAATAAAATAACCTTTTTCTTTCTCTCGTAAAAATCTCTTCGTATAATCACGCAGATTAAAATATGATAATTTCAATATATTATCCAGGTATTGAGCGAAACATTTCTCCGGGAGTATCTATAGTTTAAGAATAAATTGTGAGAATGCGTCTAGTCATAAGTAGGTACTTCCCATCGCGTTTCAGGAACGTTGCGAGAAGCAACGCGAGAAGGCTCGCCGACGATAGAGCGAGCATGGACGTGAGAAGGTTTGAGTTCCCACAGACGCCGAAGAAACTGGGAGATTGCGCGTCCTTGACGTGAGGCTAAGTCGAAGACTGTCTCGCAAACCCGCCGAGTCACCATAAGCGCGATTCGTCATCCGCGAAATGGGAATTTTAAGTATCTGTCGTCCGCTTCGTTCAAGAGACTTATAATGCTAACGTAGATTAATTCACATCGCGACACACATTTTCCTGCAATTATAGGTGACAATATATATTTATCCGTCGTGCAAAAAAATATTATTTATCAATGTGTGTGTGAATATTTATTTAAAAGCACATTTATACAACGTGTTGAGATGTCAATATTATTTCAAGGATAGTCGATCGATCTAGAAACATAGGAAACGCTCTCGTGGCACGCGGCGCAGTTTAAGCGCGATTTACAGCTCGACGTGAGAATTCACATCCGGCAGCGCGACAACGCTCCCGACTTGGGAACAAAAGGACCTGGAGAGGAGGAGAGGCCGGCCACGTAGAATCACAGCGGCAGATCGTTAAAGAAATATCGAACGTCGTACGCGCCTCCCCATCGCGGCCGCTCCATGCGAAATACGCCGGAATCGTATCTGTAATGCGATCGCTTTGGCACTGTATAGCGATAGCATCATTAACCCTCCGTGCGCCGAACACTGAATAAGATCTTGTTACGCGATATCTGACCCACGGGGCCCGGCGCGCGGAGTGCTCTCCCGACTCCCTTTTGCCCGCACAATACTCGCTAATTAAACGAGCGGGCAGCCCGCCACCGCAGATACCAGAGCGCGATTGCTTTGTTTTCGTCCGGGACCACGCCACGCTTCCTCGGGCTAAATTAATTGGAGACGATAAAATAAATAGGGGACCGACCGCCCGCGCCACCATTTCTCGCGGCAGATGGCCGTCATTGGGAGACTGCGAGAGGTAGAGACCGATGTAAAAAGTCACGAAGTGACTAACGAAATCCGCCGCCGTGTCTTCGAGCTGTCACGCGAAGGAAATGCGCCCGTTCCAAAAAGAGAAAGAAACAATCACGCTTCTTTTTCCGCGGTCTAGCGAATAGCTCGCCTAATGGGGCCTATCATTAGCTTGAACGTAAGCTTCGCATTCTTTGCGTTCCACAGTCTACTTAGAATGAAACGAACACTCGAGTATTTTTATACCCTTTACAAGTTATATCTGCGAAAAATCAAGATAAAAAAGCCACGATGAGAATCATAATTCAACGATAAGAACGATAATTGAAATCTTTTCTCTCGAATGTTTCAATCTTCGCGAATATAAAAAACTTAAAGATTAAAATATATTTTTTATTAGAGAATTTACTATATATAAGTTTTCAGAATATTCACGGTATGTGTTTCTTTTCCTCAAAATTATAAAATGTTAATTTGCTGTATCTTTGAGCCACTATAAAATCAGATTTTACGCGAAGAAATCTCTCTCGCGATTTTATAAATTGGCAAAAGAGGTGACGCATATGTTATTATTATTATCTTTTTTTAAGGATTAAGGAATCTCGCGGATAGCTCGCGCTAAGCGATCCGAAACGGCATGCCTCTTTAGGAACATCAGCGGGAAGACCTCAACGTTTTTCTCACGTCGAAGTTCGCGTATACGCGGGCGTGGTCAAGCGCGTAACCGACGACGCGCAAAAATGTTGCTGCAAAAAGCACGTCTCGCATCCACCTGGATCGCTTAGCTATCAGGCGACGCGATCAAATTGAATTTTAGAGACGTTAGCTCTTCGCGTTTCTTGCGCATATTGCCGGTTTACATCCCGCACCACTTCCTGCGGAAACAAACGATTTCGAAAAAAACTTACGATCGTTTACGCAATTGTCTGACGTTTCAATCCGCTATCAATCTGAGCGATATGTTGGTCTCTCTATATAAAATACCACAAACTTAACGAGAGAATAAAAGACAAATATAAAATATATCACTCATTGTCAGTATATCATGCTTGTTGCGTTTTCGTAGTTGCATTCACTTATAGGATCATTCATAATGACGTTCTAATGTGAGATTATACGGCTTAGCAATATAAATTTAATAACACTATTGAGCACGTGTGCGTGCAAATGCAGGTGCACGCGCGACCGTCAGACGCCCATCATGAAGGTGCTCATTAATTATTAATCGCGATAACTACGGGATGATACCTCGGCGATAATAAAACGAGAGTACGACGCTTTATCCTTTAATACGTTCCAGACTTTGTTACTTTTTTCCTCCCACGTGTGCGCCTATAGATCGTGTGTGTATTAATCAAACATCTCATTAATTACTAAATACATCGACACGCGTAACCTGACTCCGGCGCTCCGGCGAATACGTCGAAGACGATAAAAGGCCGATATAAGTCTCGTTAATTAATTATTCGATGGACGAGTAGTTACGCGCTACGGGCGGACAATGTTCTTGGCTTCGTTAAAACGTATGCAAATGAGATCTGTTCATCAAAGGCGCCCAATTAAACGAGTCGAAAAGAGTCCTTCGTTTCGTCCATCGGAAGACGAGGTGCAACGGACACGCGAATGAAGGACAAGTAGTTCTCGCGACTTCCATTGTACGTGACGATCGATGTACAACACATTAAAGGAATTCACGTCATTGAATGATTGTTATTTTTAATCTATAATACTAAATTTTCTGCAGCGCGTTTCTTCGGAAAGGAGAATTCCTCTCTGTGTAACGAGTAAAAATGTTGTTATCAATTAACGATTAGTTTCGATAATAAAATGAGCGACCGTTCGAACAATAATGTTATTTATATTATCTTCACGTAAATACAAAATTAAAGAAATAAAGTAAAAATTTCGTCATATTAAAAGATATTAAAAATGATAGATTTCTAGGTTCAAAGATGAAAAAATGTAAAAAAATAAAAATTAGAAAATTAGAAATGTTGTTTTTGCTTTTAATATATTTCAGAGTGTTAATACTTTGAAATATTGTATTTAAATATTGTATTAAAATGAACACTCATTAGCAGAAGCGTAGACAGCACGGCGATTGACTTCAAGGATAGTAAGCCATTCTAATGGTCCATTCACTGCATGACCTTTAACAAGTCTAGACACTCGGTAGCCTAAGGGCCGTGACACATAGAAGAATGTAAGCAGATAAAGCAAATAAAAAATGTCGATTTGCTTACTGTTTACATTTTTGTATGTGCCATTGACCTAACCGCGTCGAATCAACTGGGTTATAACAAACATAAGCGTGCATACTTAATGACCCAATATAACCTAGATGCGTATCTCGAAGCATCTGTATCGAGATGCTACTAGTTTTTTTCACAATCTTTCGTAGCTAAACAATTGTTAGAAATGAGAAATTCGGTCGTATTTATTTTCGATTAATTATGCCCGGTCATCTCCGAAATATACAGGGTGTTCAAAGTCAAGTCAATAAAACTTCAGGGTCTTATAGGAAATTGAATTTTGAACAAAAAAGTTCCGATAAACATAAATCCTGAAACGCTTCGTTAAAAAGTTATAGCTAATAAACTTCGAAAAGTCACGTTTTTTTGATGATTTTTAAAAATAAATTCAAAACTTCATTCATTTGAAAAAAGTAATAAAATAAATCTAATGGGTAATTAATTAACAAACTAAATTATATGAATTTCATTTAATTCTGATAAGAGGTGTTTAAAGAAAATAAGCTCAAAACAAAAAAACAAAAAAACAGAAACTTGAAAAAATCATCTTTTGATGGTCTTTATGTAAACACTACATTCATAATGCAAACATTGCAAACATAAAAATGTTCTTATCAAATTTAGATCATAACTAATTAT